ACGGGAAATGGAACCCTTGAACCCAAGAAAACTAATCCAGTAGCAAAACGTAAGTTTATTGATTTTTTCTTTGCCATACCAAAGTGTATCATATATATTTTGTTTGGGTTAATACTTAACAGCAAATTTTTGTTTGGAACATATTGCAGAAAAATCATCATGGAAGATAAAACTCATAATCGGTACCATATCCCTAGCTCAATCCATGTGACCGCACTCTCCTGTGCTTTAAAGACTTTTTCTCTTATTGCAGGAGTCCCTGTAGGAACGTGTGTGACGATCATTATTGTGGTCTTTGTAATAGTGAGAGAAAAAAATGCGAAAAAGAGTGATTGGAATGGAAAAAACGTTGAAGAAGTTGTAATGTTGAAAAAATATAGTTACACAAGAGTCAAGAAGATGACAAACTCATTCTCGCATGTTCTCGGGAGAGGAGGATTTGGAACTGTCTATAAAGGAAAGTTACCTGATGGAGGCCGAGATGTTGCAGTAAAGATCTTGAAGGAGGCTAAGAGAAATGGAGAAGAGTTCATCAATGAACTAGCTAGCATGAGTAGAACATCTCATGTCAATATTGTTTCTCTACTTGGATTCTGTTATGAGGGGGACAAGAGAGCTATAATCTACGAGTTTATGCCGAATGGATCCCTCGACAAGTTCATTTCCGAGAATATGGCAACAAAGCTGGAATGGGAAACGTTATATAATATAGTGTTAGGTTTGTCTCGTGGCCTAGAGTATTTGCATAATCGTTGTGCGTCGAGGATTGTGCATTTCGACATAAAGCCGCAAAACATACTCATGGACAAAGATCTTTGTCCCAAGATTTCAGATTTTGGTCTTGCTAAGCTCTGCAAAAATAAGGATAGTATCATATCAATGCAAGACGCGAGAGGTACGGTAGGATATATTGCCCCTGAAGTGTTTTCCAAGAATTTTGGAGGAGTTTCGCATAAGTCGGATGTGTATAGTTATGGGATGGTGGTTCTTGAGATGATTGGAGCAAGAGATAGAGAAAAAGTTGAAATTTTTGGATCCAACAATAGTTCAATATACTTTCCAGATTGGATCTACAAGGATCTTAAGAGGGGAGAAATCATGAGGATTTTCGGAGATCAGATAACCGAAGAAGATGAGAAAGTTGCAAAGAAAATGGTATTGGTTGGTCTATGGTGTATTCAGTCCAATCCATCTGATCGTCCACCAATGATGAAAGTCATTGAAATGTTAGAGGGGGATCTAGAAGCTCTCCAGGTTCCACCTAAACCTTTCTTCTTCTTACCCGAGGCAACAGTTCCGGAAATTGTTGAAAATAGTAGTGCGACTGCAAGCTTCTCCAACCCAAGTCAGTTTGAAAGAGGTAGTACTCTCTCATCTGGTGAAAATACATTACATTTTTCCAAAAAATTGGTTCAACAACTCTCTAAGAGAGTCAACATGAGAGTGGATCTCTTACGTACAACTTGTCAAGATCTTGAGCATTCTGATTTGATTGTGTTGATTCCATGCTAATGAGAAACGTTTGTCAGTGCGTCACCCGACATAGTTGGTTAAGCTGGATAAAGACGATACAAGAGACTTTGGAACACAACAACGTAAATTTAAAATCCTTGAAACTAAGCTACGCTTTCCAATCTGTCGTTTACCATCTCTAGCGAGAGAGCGGTATGGTCGACGACATGGTGAAGCCGCATTATCAACAAGACTCTTGGTCAAACAGATCGACAAGAATATCCGAAATCTGATCAATGCGATTCTTAGCACAAGAGACCATGCTTATTCGGAAGCCATGGAGCTATGGCTTTCCACATGATGAAACATCACACGACGTAACATCAAGCTCTCTGTTTTTTGTAATCATGCTCTGTTTTTCATGATCTATTTTTGAGTTTAGAACTATCAAAACAAAGTCACATTCATTTCATTGTACAAAATTAATTGATTTGAATACTATTAAAACAAAGTTCACATTCATTTCATTGTACAAAATGAACTGATATGTTTTTAGTGGATTTCTCAAGATAAAATAATAATAAATTTAGCTAAAAAGTGGAAAGAAAAATATGAAAGGTTCTCAAATGAGAATAGTCTCTCATGTACATCAGTTTTAATAATTGAAACAACTTTACAAAATTAGTTTACGTTATTAGTAAAAAATGTTTTAGCATCAATTGTAGTTGATGTAATTTTTTGTATCATTTTTATAAATAATGTTATTAAAAATATCGATAATCTAATTGATGTAAAAATATATTTTAGTATCAATTTTGTTAAAGTGATACAAACTAATATAAATTGTATCANTTTTNTTNAAGTGATTCNAAATTAGTCAATATCAACATCAATTATTACAATTGATACTAAACCATATATATTTGCTTCATTTACATATAAGTGATTTAAACTAGTTTCATTCCATTTTGTGATACAATTTAAGTGATACTGTGGATGATTGGTTCGACTGTAGCTGTAGATTAATTGCTGTAGAATTTTTGCTGTAAATGTTTTGGCTGTAGCTGTACATTTTTTAGGCTGTATATTTTTAGGCTGCAGATTTTTTTGCTGTACATATTAAGCTGTAGCTGTAATATTAAAATAAAAACACAATTGGTAACTATAAGATATGTGCTGTAGTTTTAATTAAATTAATTTATGCAAATAAAAATTGTTATAATTTAGAAATTTTATCATATCATCTTCTAAAAGCTATGTATAGATCTCTATATGTAGAGTAAATAAAAAACACAGAAAACATTCATGAAGAGAAGATGGAGACAAAAGTAAACAAAAAAAAAATTGTATAATCTAGAAAAGAGACTCACTGATTTGATTTATGGTGAAAAGAAAATAAGAAGACGTGTTTCTTCAAACCTTTGTGACGGCA